GACGCATAAGTTTCTTCCTCTAAGCTTCTTAAATTCGTTTGTTCTTTCTTTTTCGACAAAAAAAAAAAGAAAAAAAAAGAAAAAAAACTAAAAACCAGATTTTCCTCTCTTTCATTAACTTTCATTCATTATCTATATGCGAAATTCTAAAAAGAGACTCGTTAATTTACTGGAAATTTAATGACTCACTCTTTGTTGTATTAATTTAATCTCTGCGGATTTACATGCATTTATTTTACTTCATTTAAATAATTTACAATTCGTTCGTTTGTAGTTTTTGTTTGATTTACTGTAATGTTTAATTTAATTATGTTTAATATTTCATGTAATTATTTGTAATATTCTCTGTAATTGTTTATAACATTCAATGTAATTTCTAATCTGTAAAATTTATCGTATTTTTGTTTTTAAAGTAGGTAATTTGTAGATATTCAATTTAGTTAAAATTTTAATAATAATTCACTAATACGTTAATTAAGTTCAAAACGTTTATAAACAACAAATTCACTCACGTTATCTAATTAATTTAAATTTGGAACAGATGAATAGCATTTCTGTCAAATAAAATTTTTACTCAAAACAAAAAAATAATTTAGTAGGCTTTGTGGTAAATAAATTTTCTTATGAATTCTAAAAATTTATATAAAAATCCCTGAGTTTTCCCTGAATTTCTTAATTCAGGGAAAAGTCAACGATTTTTGTAAAAATTTTTGGAAAAAATTAAATTTTTAGAATTCATAAGAAAATTCTAAAGTTTTGTGACTTTTTCGACTGTCTTATAAACTATAAAATTGTACCACGAATTCTAATACAAAACCTTCAATTTTTTCTATTTTAGACAATAATTTCTTTTTAAATAACTTAATTCTTGAAGAATTATTATAAAATTATTACTTATTTATTAATGAATAATTTTACTAAAATATTTCAAAATTAATTGAATTTTAGAAGAGTTGCGTTTACAATTTTCAAAAATAGATGAACTTCAAAAGTTTATAATTTTAAATTTAATTAAATTTCATTTTAGAATGAATTTAATTGGAACTTTTAAATAACTTAGATTTTTAAAAAATGCAGGGCTCGAACTAAGTCCGTAAATCCCGTAAAAGTCCGTAACTTTGCTTGAAGTCCGTAAAAGTCCGTTTTTTTGAAAAAAGGTCCGTAAAGTCCGTAATTTGATTGAAAAAGGTCCGTAAAGTACGTAAATTATACGATATAATTTGGATAATTTTAGAGAAATTACAAATGATTGAAGGAATTTAATTATTTTCAAAAGCAATAAAATTCTTCGCAAAAATTCAATTATGTTTAAAATTTTTTAAAAATTCTCGTCAAAATTTCAATTATCTTTAGAAGTAATTAAATTCTTCTCCAAAATATCAATTATTTTCAAAAATTTTAATAAAATTCTTGGAAAAATTTCAATTATTTTCAAAATTTTTCCTCAATTCAATTATTTTTAATAGGTATCTATACTATTCTAGTAAAATTTTCCAAAAGAATTCATTGATTACAAATTTTTTAATAAATTTCTTCGCAATATTCAATTATTTTCATAAATAATAAAATTTTTACAGGTATTTAATTTTTTTGGCAAATAATAAAATTCTTATTAGGAATTCAATTATTTTGATAAATAATAAAGCTAATTGCAGAATTTCAATTATTTTTAATACAATTTTAATCGAATTCCTCGAAAAATGTAATTATTCTTAAAAATTTTATTAAAATTTATCAAAGAAATTTAATTATTTTAATAACCTCTAATTCAATTTATTTATTAGAATTTAAATATTATTTTTAATAAATTTTTAATTAAATTTCTTTAAAGAATAAAATTATTGCATTCAAAATTTTTAATGCAATTCTTTGCGTAAATTATCAATTTTCTTTATAAATAATAAAATTCTTCTTCAAAATTCAATTATTTTCAAAAAACTTTTAATAAAATTCTTGGCAAAATTTCAATTATTTTCAAAAATTTTGCCTAATTTAATTATTTTTAATATCTATTTTAATAAAATTTTGCAAAAGAATTCAAATTATTTTAAAATTGATTGATACAATTTTTTAAAAGAATTCAATGTAATAATTCATATGTAATTATTCAATAAATTGTTTTTTTTGTTTTTAAATAATGAAATTTTCGTAGAATTTTCTCATAAAAATTGATTTAAAAATGGATTTCCGTTAAAATTTTAGATTATAATTGAATATTAAAAGTATTAGAGCGTAAAGTTTTAGAAATAATTAAATTTTGAAAAGGTTTCAGATTCAAATCTTTGAAAATTTGAATTTTTCATATTTTTAACTGAGTAACAATTCTGTGGAATTAATTTTTTTGAGAAATTTTAATTGCGAATTTTTTTTATATTATTTGAAGTTTTTATTTTCTAATACATATTTAATTGAAGAATTTACAAATAATTGAAAATTCGTAAAATTGAATATTGTAAAGAAATGGATTTGAAAATTGTCAAAAAACTTTTTCGAAAATTATTAAAAATAATCGATTTTAAGAAGAATTTTAGTTAAAAATTCTTGAAAATAATAATTGAAATGATAATGATTTTATCACTCTATCTTTAATTTATTATAAAACATGAAGTAATCGATCGCTCCGAGTCGAAGACTCGGAGTTATCGATATCTTCATGTTTATTAGTTATGAAAAAATCTAATTTATAGTTTTAAGTAAAATGTTCTCTTATATATTTTTGCCAGTAGTTGGTCCGTAAATGGTCCGTAATTTTTCATTTTTGGTCCGTAAAGTCCGTATTTTTAAATACTTTCACTGGTTCGAGCCCTGAAAAATGTTAATATAATTCTTTTGACATTCAATTATGATAAAAAATTCAAAAAAATTATCCTCAAAATTTCAATCATCTTTATAAATAATATTCTTCTCCAAAATTCAACAATTTTCAAAAATTTTAATAAAATTCTTGTCAAAATTTAAATTATTTTCAAACAATTTTCTCAATTCAATAATTTTCAATATTTACTAATTTAATAAAATTTTTCAAAAGAATTCAATCATTTAAAAAAAATGTCAATAAAATTCTACGGAAACATTTAATTATTTCCATAAATAGTAAAAACTTCACAGGAATTCAATTATTTACAAATTTTTTATAAATTTCTTCGTCATAATTCAAAGAATTTTATAAATAAAAAAATTTTTACAGGGATTTAATTAAATTCAGAAAATAATAACATTTATTTTCTGATTTTAATTATTTTCATAAAGAACAAAACTCATGACAGAATTTCAATTATTTTAATACAATTTTAATGAAATTCCTCGAAAAATGTAATTATTTTCAAAATTTCGTTTAAAATTCGTCAAAAGAATTCAATTATTTAAAAATTTGTTCATAAAATTCCTTATGAGAATTCAATTTTCTAATAAAAATTGACATAAAAATGAATTTAATTAAAAATAATTGATTTTAAGAAAAATTTTAGTTAAAAATTCTAGAAAATTTTTAGAAACATAGATTTTTGAAAAATTTTAATAATTTAAATTAATTTGAAATTAGTTCCATTTTTTAATTTATATTTAATTTACTATTAAAAATAATAGAATTATAGAAGATTTTTAGTAAAAAACACTATAAAAAAATTGAATTTTGGAGCAGTTGCAAATAATTGCAGAAATTCAATTATTTTTAAAAGTAATAAAATTCTTCGCAGAAATTCAATTATGATCAAAATTTTTTTTTAAATTCTCATGAAAATTTCAATTATCTTTATAAATTAATAAAATTCTTCTCCAGAATTCAATTATTTTCAAAAATTTTATTAAAATTCTTAGCAATAATTCAATTATTTTTATGCTTTTAACATAAAATTTTGTAGAATTTTTAATTTGAAATTATTTGAAGTTTTTTTTTTTATTGTATATTTGAATTGAAGATATTCTAAATAATCCGAAATTTCGTAAAATTAAATTGTAAACAAATAGAATATTTTGAAAATACTTAAAAACTTTTTTAAAAAAAATCTTGAATTATTATGAAACATAAAAAACTCGCCCAGTTCTAGTTAAAAAAAATTTTTAAATCTTAATTCCTACAGAAAAATAATAATGATTAAATATATATATTTAAAAAAGAAGTTATTGATGTTTTCGAATAATTTTACAATTAAAGAAATTCGTAAGTAATTTATTTTTGTATTTAAATAATTGAATTCTCGTAGAATTTTTTAATAAAAATTGATTTAAAAATGTCTTTAAGTTAAAATTTTAGATAATAATTGATAATTTTAATTCTTATAAAAAATGAAGAAATCGATCACTCCGAGTCTTCGACTCGGAGCAATCGATATCTTCATGTTTTATAAGAATATATTTTTAAAGTTATTTAATTTTAAAAAGGTTTAAATTTGAATTTTTTGAAAATCTTAATTCCTATGGAAAAAATACTAATAATTAAAGATTTATTTAAAAAAAGAAGTTATTGATGTTTTCGAATAGTTTTGCTTTTGAAGAAATTTGTAAATAAATGTAATAGAACATTATTTTGAGTATCTAATCATTTTTAGAGTGAATCAGAATTTTCTTTAGGGTCGGGGAAAGTCAAAATTTTCTTTGGAACTCAGGGAAAAGTCTTGGAGAAACAAATGTAAATTTTTATGGCAACTCTGTTACTTTAAATAAAACATTTCCGTAGATGCAGAATTTAGAACAAATATATTTTACTTTTAATATTAGAAGTAAAATATATTTTATTTTTATATACCTAATTTTTTTTTATGTTTTTAACAATCATATGATTGCTTTTATAGATTAAATTTTGATTCTGCAGTGAAAGAGAAAAAAAACAAAAAAATATCGAAAATTTATAGTTTTCTGAGTAGAATTTCAAAAGAAAATGGGTTCGATTTTTACAAAATGAAAAGAGAGGAAAGTGTAATAAACCTTATATGACGAGTATTACACGGTTATAGTTTATGGCGAACAATATATATATGTGTATAGTGGAAGGGTTGATGCCAGACTTTGAGGAACATTAGAAAAGAGTTGACGAGGAGAGGTTATGGAAGGATAGACGAGTAGGGAAGGGGAGAAAGAAGGAACACCCCAGTCCGACTCACTCAAAATGCTTGGAAAATATATGACCACCACTTGAGTAGTACTAACTTCTACCGTCAGAATGCAGTGTTGCGCATCAGCCCGACTTTAACACACCGTTGTTATGCAAAATTTATTAATTTATTTATTTATCGAGGTGTTTTGAAATTTCTAATTATTGTTAGTAGCGTTTGAAGAATAAAAAACAATTATAGACAGTAAATACAAAGACTAATGTGAAAAAAATGGTGTAAACCTTTATAATTCGACATAGACTGCAATGGACAGTGATTTTATTTTTATATAGATTTTTATTAGATTTTAAGTGTTTGTGTATATTTAAGTTCAGTTTTGACACTTTTTTAGTCTTAAGTTTGTTTTTTAAGTGTTTTTTGTAAATAATTAAAAGATGCCGCGATATACAGGACATCGTTGTATAGTGCCGAATTGTAATTCAGGTTATGAATCAACAAAAAGTGAAAAGTGTCACAAGTTCTCCGTTCCATTTGACGAGGAAGATATTCAAAAGTGGAAAAAAATAATTCCTCGTAAAAATTTTGAATTAAAAGGAGGAATGGTTGTTTGCGAGAAACATTTTCTGAAAGATGACATTGTTTGGAGACGGGAAGTAAAAGATCCTGCTGGCAATGTCATGGCATCGGTTTGTATATTTTTAACTTTGTATAATTATTTTTTGAAAGCTAATGAATAAATAAATTAAATTATATGATAATTGTTAAAATTTTGTGTTATAGGAGGAGTTGAAGAAACCTCATTTAAAGAAAGGAGCTGTTCCTTCACAATTTCCGAATTGCCCATCATATCTGTCCCAATCGCGAAAAAAACGGAAGTCGCCAAAAAAAAGAGAGTTTACACCGAAATCTACCGATCATGAAAAATTAAATATAAAAAAAAGAAAAGTCGAAGAATCCAAAGAAAATGTATTTCACGAAGAAATCGAAAATATGCCACTAAATGGAAATAATTTTGAATCAGAGAACTCCACAAAATCTCAAGTAGATGAGAGTTCAACTACAACAGATGAAAATGAAACAGATTCTAAATTTTCGGAGCGAATTGATTTATTCAATTCGCTGTTTAAAAATGAAAATAAAGTTAACATCCCAATATCATGGAATCGACGACGTAGTGAAAAAGATATTCAATGCATTGAATACTCTGAATGCATATCTCGAATGAGAGAAGATAAGCCTCAATTCTTTACTGCAAAACAACTTGTCATTTACAATGACATGCAAATTGTAGCAAAGGTGTCCGGCATAAACTTGCCATTGGAAAAACTTGGCTTAAATACCAACTATGTGTCGACAATTACTGAACTGGAAGAAATTATTAAAAATTTCAATAAAGTTAAAGTTTGTTTGGGATGTGCATCACCAAATACTATCCAGAACATAGAAAACTCATTTGCGGTTCGCGACTCAGCAGGATATTTGAGACATACAAAATGTTCGTTAATAATCACTAGTAAAAAGCGCTTATCATGTGAAACATGCTCGAAAGCGAAGAAGACCCTCGCAAAAAAATTTATGCGCTTTAAGAAAATTAATGAGCAGCGACGTATAGTTTTGAAAATGAGTCCCACAAAAAAGTACAAATTAAATTTAATTAGAAGTAGATTATATAAATCTAATAAAAACTTAGGAAATTATAAAAGTCTCTGTGGACACTACAAAAAGGAACTCAAGGAAAATAAAAAAGAAATGTCCCTTCTTCGGGACAAAAATTTAGACTCAAAAATGGACGATTTAAAAGTAAATAAAAATTCGAGAATTGTCATTAATGAAATTTTATCAGCTTCGAAAGTGAAGGATGCAAAAGGTCGCCGTTACACAGAAGATTGGATTATTTTGTGTTTGTTGTTCCATACAAAATCACCAACAACTTATAATCTTCTGAGAGATAATAAGGTTTTACCTTTACCTGCAACAAGCACCATTCGAAGGTAATATAAAGTTTAACAAATTCATATCTTTTTAAATAATATTTTTACATTACGATAAATGCAACTTAAATTTAAGAAGCATTTTTCTTGATCTAATAATTAAACCTTTCTTTTAAAACAGATATTTATCGTTAATCCAAACGCCTTGCGGATTTGACGACTCGTTTTTTAAATTATTGAATGAGCGTTTATCGGAATTGCCTGACGAATACAAACATGGAGTTTTGTTAGTGGACGAAATGGGGACTAGAAAAAATTTAAGACTAGATCAAAAGAAAATGAAAATTTTGGGTCTTACAGATTTTGGGGACGAAGAATTAAACAAGTCAGTGAAAATAACTGATAAAGCAGATCACGGACTTGTTTTAATGTTCCATTCACTAATGGAATCTTTCTCACAGCCAATTGCTGTTTTTGTTTCAAAGGGACCAGTGGTTGGTACAATATTAGCAAAACTGATTATTCAAGCAATATGTTTATTAGAACAGGCCGGTGCAAAAGTACATGGAGTGGTGTCAGATTCTGCTTCTGCCAATAGAAAGTTCTGGTCTATTTTTGGAGTAAGTGGAGATCTCAAAAATGTTGAATGCAGCTTTGCTCACCCGACTATTGAAAATCGTCGAATTTACGTCTTTGCTGATATTGTCCATTTGATAAAAAGTATGCGCAATCGATTGCACGACAAGAAAACTTTGCGGGTATAAAAATCATAAATATATATTTTTGTAGAAGACTATATTTTTTTAAATATAGATATGTTTAATAATTATTTTATTTCAGGTAAATCTAACAGATCCAGAAATAGATTGGGAATACTTCAGAAAAGTATTTGAAGTGGACAAATATCATGCAACAGGAAAATGGCATCCTAAATTAACGGCAGAACACCTCGATCCAAATAACATGACCAAAATGCGAGTCATTTTAGCAGTACAGGTAATTATATATTTATATTTTCATAAATATAAATATACCAATAGTGTTCTAAACTTTCAATGTATTTTAGATGTTCAGTAAAACAATTGCTGAAAGTCTTTTAAAAGGAGCTTCCGTTTACCCGGATATGTTTAAGAACTGCGAAGCAACAGCAGAATTTTGTTTAAAAATAAACAACTTATTTGATATTTTAAACATAACAAATCCAGAGAAAGGACTTCGAATAGATTCACCAAATTATGAGGTAAGAGAATTACATATTGTTAAAATAGTTTAAAGTATATATTAAAATAGTATAGTATAGTATAGTATTGAATTAATAAATATTTCTTTTTATAGAAATTACTCCAATTCTTAAGTTGGCTCAATGACTGGGAACAACTAGTATTTGATGGGAAATTAAGAAGAGAAGAATGTTTTACAGAAAGCTCTACGACAGGATTGAGAATTTCCATTCATTCGACCATAGGTTTGTCGAAAGATTTATTGGAGAAACATGGATTTCCATATGTTTTGACTGGACGTATAAATCAAGATCCTTTAGAGGTATAAAGGTTTCCAAGTTCATATTTTGTAATTTAATATAATTCTATTTTGGATTTACACAAATAGTCAATCAAATATTTCTCTTAAATGAAATGTTATTCTCGATTTCATTTAAATAAATTCATTAACTTTTAAATACGATTGAGAATGAAATAAAATTTTTAACTAATACTTTGCAAAATATAGTGAAATTTATTAATAAACATAAAAATTAATTTTTAAATATTTTGATATTGAGGAGTATTAAAAAGATGTTATCAAGAATAACATTTCGTTTATATTTCTAAGAAAATATATTTTTTTTTATTTTAATAGTTATTGAAATAATTAGTATATTTTGATTTCAGGTTTGCAGTGATTGAAATTTATAAAATTTTTCCATTTAAATCAGTATTTAAATACATTTTCTTATTCAAATTAATTGAAAATACGAAAAGAAAATTATTTTTATTTGCTGATTTTTTGGTCAACAAGTGTAATTAAAATAATAGATATCTGATTTAAGTAGAAAAATTTAGCAAGTAATATAATTTTATTTTTAATTTGTTTTCAGCTGTAGCTCCTTTTTAATTATACGCTGTTATATAGGATACTGCAGACTATTGAAGGCTCGGAAATATTAGGTTTTATTTTAATTTAGAACACGTCAAGGAATTTTTTAAACCATTGAATCATTAACGTGTTTAAATTCTTAATACATTTTGTGACATTAGAATATTATATAGTTGTGTCTTCCTAATTAATTTTTTTAGGATTTTTTAAGTTGATTCCGTGGCTGCTGTGGTTTTTCATTAATCAAATTTGAAATGGATAAATTTATATCCTGGTAAAAATTTTAGTGATGCAGGTCGATTTTTTACACAAAAAAGGTAGAAAGATTAAATTTTTGTCTTACAAGGTTCTCGAAATTGTGAGATTTTTTCAAACTAGAGTCGATCGACGTGCATCATTACTCCGTTTTATTGATTTGAAATATTCTTGTTTTTTTTCTGTTTTTAATTTATATTTTCCTTGTTTATTTAGCGATTTTTCGGGACCGTTCGATCCGCGGGTGGTACAAATGATCATCCGTGTACGCCTACATTTCTACAGTTGTATAAGATTTTATCTGTACACTGTATTTTAACACCTCCGAAATTAGGAAATTGTTCGAACGATTTTACTATTGATCCTCCTCAGCCATTAATTACAATTACAAAATTAAAAGAATTATACAATTCAAAGGAAAAAAGCTCAATTGAAAAAATTAAAGAAAAACTTATAGTTGTAATTGAGGATGAAGATTCAGATTTTAATGATTTTGTACGTGATATAGATCATGATTATTTCTCTCAAGAAATTGTAGATTGTTTGCTATTTTATACGACTGAAAGAGTATGCAGATATTTAAAAGACCGAGAAAAATGTTCAATATGTTTAAATGCTTTCATGTCTACATCAAATATTGCAACAGATACATTATTTTTTTCATCCAATAGATTACCACGCAGTTACGAAATTTTTATAAATCCCTTACAAGAACTTATACATCCGAACCGTAAATTATACGATATTGTGCTAGAGATCGAATATTTATTCCGGCAACATAGAGAACATCGTAACTGTGTAGACATCATTTTAAACAAAATGTCCTCAGAGCCAATAAAAATTTATTTTTCTTGTAAAGAACACCCTGACAATGCCAGCAAGCTATTAAGTTTCGTAGTATTAACTTACTTACAAATTAGAATGAGGGAGTATATTAATCAGGAAATGGCCTTGTTGAAAAAGCAAAGTATTTATAAGAAAAAGGCAGCAAAACTTTGCACAAGTTGACTAAAAAAGAATTTTATGTTTTCAGATACAAAGTTTCTTATGCATGTATATGTACGTATGTATATAATAAAGAAAAATTTATTCTGTATACCTATGTACTTTTTCATAATATTATATGTAACCTTTATTATTTCCTTTATCACTTTTATATTTATAATATATCTATATACCTAGAGTATTGAAATTGTTTAAACTTACTTTAATCTTACAATCAAACGTATTACAATAGAAAAATGTTACACAAAGTTATTTTTTATTTTTATATTTGGATTTAATTTTAAATTGAAAAATCATATATTATTAAATGAATTGTAATACAGAATTTTTAGAAAGCAATTATTTGTATTTTTGTAATTAAATATTATACAAATTTTAGAAAAATTTATACAGTAAGTTTAATTTCAATGTATCAGTCAATAAATTTTATTTCTTTATTTATTCTTTTTTGCAATTATATTTCTGAAGTATTTTGTACTCATAAAAAATAATTACGTATTACATTAAATTTCTAATCAGACATTCATTAAATCAAGTTGAAATAACTGAATTTAAATAATTTTTATATTTTTATTCCATTAATGTCAGTGTTAATGACGGGCTGATGCACAGTTGCGCACTCTGGGAGACTATGCTAGTACTATGCAAGTGGTGGTCATATATTTGCCGATGCGATCTATAGGAAATTGAGTGAGTCGGACTGGGGTGAGAAGGAAGAGAGAGAAAATGATGAAGATGTCGAGGGAGGGGATAAAAGCAAAAGGTGGGGAATCAGTAACCACGTGCATCGACCGCGTGTTTGGTATCGTCGTTTCATCTTGCCTGCCGTGTGTTATAAAGACACATAGACTAAACTTCTCGTACCAGGGACAATCTCAGATATATTTTATGCAAACCCCACCAGACAGACGGCGATAATAATTATTATTCCATACACAATGCGATAATGAGATCTTACGCAATTACTTCATTATTCACGTACTACACACACGTTACTTAACAATAAATGTTTGATTTTATCATTCTTTGTACTGATTTTTAATGAATTGGTCAGTCGAATCATTATTTGCTGAAAACACACACGCGCATCATTTATATATATATTTTATCCCCTGAAAATTATAAACGGCAATTATAAACTAATTGCAGGAAATATACGGCAAAATATTGTAAATATAAATACCTATATTGATTATATGTCCAAAAAGCTTCGACATTTTAATTAATTGTTAAAATAATTTAAATTACGTTCAACTGTTCGGTTTTGTATATGTATTTCGATACTGTTTTTCTGCTTTATAAATTCAACATTTTCGCATAGATTAATTGATCATTTTGAAAGAAATTAATTAACACATAAAAATAACATGCTTAATATTCTGAATATTTATTTTCTTTTTTAGTTTAATGATAAAACTAAATTGTAGGTACTTTTCTTAAAATATTTTTTTTCCATCAGTTGTATGGAAAAGTTAATTATTTTCTATGAGAAAGCAAAATTTTTTATATTAAGATGAATAGTTCTGTAATGTTGGAAACGCCCTCTTATTTTTAACATATCATCATGCTTGTGATTCAGAAAGAAAACAAAATTCTTATATTTTCCACGTAGCATTATAGTCACATACTCGGAATTTTTCACTTTATTTTCAAATTTAGGTTGAGACTGAAAAGTCCGTAACGTTTTTGAAAACGAAAAAGCAGACGAGAATTTTTTTCGATTTAAATTTATCTCTAGTGAAAAAATTTTTAAGGTCAGGGAAGTCAGGGATTTTTATTAAAAGTACTGGAAAAAATTAAATTTTAAGAATTCATAAGAAAATTTTGAATTTTTGGTGTTCTTTTTTGTTTGCCTCATAAACTATGACATTACCACGAATTCTAATACAAAACCTTCAAAATTTTTTTCTATTTCTGACAAGAATGAATTTTTTTAATATTATTTAATTATTTCAACAGTTTGAACGCAATTTTCTTGATAAATAATAAAATTCTTTACAGAAATTCAATTATTTATAGAAATTTTAATAAAATTCTTTGTAAAATTCAATTATTTTCAAAAGTAATAAAATTCTACGAAGAAATTTAATTATTTTTAAAAATTTTAATGAATATCTCATCATAAATTCAATTATCTTTATAAATAGCAAAACTTTTCTCCTAAAATTCAATTATTTTTAAAAATTTTAATAAAATTCTTTTCAAAATTTCAATTAATTTCAAAAGTTTCGTGCAATTGAAAGATTTTCAATATTTACTATTTTCATAAAGTTTATCAAATAATTCAATTATTGAAAAAAATTTTTGATACAATTCTACGAAAACATTTAATTATTTTCATAAGTAATAAAATTTAATTTAGGAATCCAATTATTCTCATCACAGAATTTCAAATATTTTTAATTTTAAATAGATTCCTCAAAAAATGTAATTATTCTTAAAAATTTTATAAAAACTTGACGAAAGAATTGAATTTTAAGAAAAATTAAATTATTCAATAAAATAAAAAATTCGTTACAATAATTCTTGAAAAGAAATTAATTATCTTCAGAAACAACCAAATTCTTCGCATAAAATCAATTATTTTAAGGAATTTTAACAAAATTCTTTTCCAAAATTCAATTATTTTGATAAATATCAAAATTCATAACGAGAATTCAATTTTTTGTGTCCTTTTGGTTTGCCTCATAAACAATAAAACTACCACGATTTCTTATGCAAAACCTTCAAAATTCTTCACAAAAATTCAATTATTTTTAGGAATTTTAAAAAAATTCTTCGCAAAATTCAATTACTTTCATAAATAACAATATTCATCACAAGAATTCAATTATTTTCAAAAGTAATAAAATTCTTCGAAGAAATTAAATTACTTTTAAAAATTTTCCTCAATTTAATGATTTTCAATTTCTATTATTTTAATATGATTTCCAAAAGAATTCAATTATTTAAAAAAAATTTTAATAAAATTCTACTCAAACAATTCATTATTTTCATAAATTTTATAAAAATTTCACAGGAATTCAATTATTTTCAAATTTTTTATAAATTTCTTAGAGATAATTCAATAAATAAAAAATTCTTTTTAGAAATTCAATTATTTTCATCGCAGAATCTCAATTATTTTTAATACAATTTTAAATAAATTCCTCGAAAAATGTAATTATTCTTAAAAATTTTATAAAAACGTGACGAAAGAATTGAATTTTAAGAAACATTCAATTATTCAATAGAATAATAAAATTCGTTGCAATAATTCAATTATTTATATAATTAACTTTTAATTCGTCGCAAGAAATCAATTATTTAAAAAATTTTTTAAGTAATTCTGCAAAAAAATTCAATTATTTTGAAAAACAACAAAATTGTTCATATAAATTCAATTATTATAAGGAATTTTAATGAAATTCTTTTCCAAAATTCAATTATTTTGATAAATATCAAAATTCATAACAAGAATTCAATTTTTTTGAAAAGTAATAAAATACTTTGCAGAAATTAAAATATTTAAAAAATTTTTTAAAAATTCTCGTCAAGAATTAAATTATCTTTATAAATAGATAGCGAAATTCATCTCAAGAATGAAATTATTGTCAAAAATTTTAATAAAATTCAGGGCAAAATTTCAATTATTTTAACAAAATTTAATAAAATTCTTCGCACGAATTCAATTATTTTTATGAATTATTATTTAAATTCTTCTCTCAGGAATTCAGTTATTTTTAAAAATTTTAATAAAATTCTTCAAAAAGTTTTCAATTATTTTCAAAAATTGTTATAAAATTCTTTAATATAATAAATTTCAGTCAAATTTTAATTAAATTCCTTAAAAGAAATTAAATATTTTCAAAAGTTCTTACTAAATTTCTTTGTAAAAATTAAATTTTAAGAAACATTCAATTATTGAATAAATTTATTTGTTTTTGTATTTAAATAAATGATTCTCGTAGAATTTTCTAATAAAAATTGTTTTAAAAATGAATTTTGGTTAAAATTTTAAATAATAATTTAATATTAAAATCATTATAACAAGCTTTTTATTTTTAGGAATAATTGAATTTTGAAAAGGTTTCAAATCTAAATCTTTGAAAATGTGAATTTTTCGTACTTTTAACTAATAATTCTGTAGAATTAATTTTTTTTGAAAAAGTTTAATTGAATTTTTTTTTAAAATTATTTAAAGTTTTTATTTTCTAATACAATATATACCTATTTAACTGAAGAATTTCCAAAGAATCGAAATTTCGTAAAATTGAATTGTGAACAGATGTATTTGAAAATTTTCAAGGAACTTTGTCAAAATATTCTTATAAATTGTTGAATTTCAAAAAGTTTGAATTTAAATTTTATGAAAATCTTCATTCCTATGGAACAAATACTGTAATTATTGGTTCAAATACCATTTAATTGACTCCAGTAAATATTATTTGATTCTAGTAAATATTTAATTGATAATAGAGTCAATTAATCAGTTGTTTGAATCAAATAAATTTTTTTTTAGTGTATGAAAAAATAATAATTTGTTAAAAGTCAGTTTTTGGATCTTAATAATAATTCTTATTTTGAGGTTTATTCTTTGGCCTAAACCTCAAAACAAGAAAATTTAATTAAATTAAATATAAATATTTGTGGCAACCCTGTTATAAAAAATCACCCTTATAGTAAATTAAAAAAAAAAAAATGTTAAAACAAATAAAGTGTCGTCCCTTTGAACATTCGGATTTTTTAGTAACTTTAAGAAAATATATTCGAATAAAATATATTTGGTACCTGAATTCATCTGTGAGTTCAGGAATCACCCTCGTATTCAAACAAAGAAATTCATTCATTTGAATGTTAAAAAATTAAGGGAAATGAAAGTGTTTGAAAAATAATGGAAAATAAATGATGAAAAAAGAAGAGAAAAATGCCACTATGATAATATTGACAAGTGTGTAGCCTTTGTGATTCTGAAGGAAACAGTGGTAGCAGTTTGTATCGAATAAGAAGAGCGTGAAAACGATTCTCCAATGCTTTTTCCAAAAGCAAGTATTGTATTTTCTATTGTGGTCAAAAGAATGTGGATAAGTATTATGTTCTATACGTTTATAT